CCTAGAACCTGTTGCTTCCAAAATTCAGCGCAACCTTACCCTAATTTGCATTTATTATTGTAATGTCTTAGTAAAAAACAAAACAAAAACTTCCATTTCCATTTCTCTGTCCCTCAGGGGCTTCCGAAATCATGCTAGAGAGAAGATGCCTCTGACACACTATCCCCGCCAACTGAAAATTACAGCAGGCTGACCCTAACCCAGAAGAACTTGGAAACAAGATATGGCCAAACTCTTTATCTTTCATTGTAAAGCCTGTTCTGAGTCCAGCCTTGCTGCCTACCTTGTTTCTATCATCTGTATAAATCCATCATCTCATACATATGTGAACACAATAAGGTACCTTTCTCCAGCATTCTTGATTGGCCCCTTTAGGCACTGAAAGCCACTCTATGGTCTCCCTGGAGCCTTCTCTTCTCTGTGCTGAATAACCCCACTCCTCTCAGCTAGGAGGTATCTCTAATAGCTGGGATATCTCCCACCATGCTTGGATACAGTGGGACCATTTTGCATCTTGGCTAGAAGCATCTAAATCCATTCTGTAGTGTTCCAGAAACACGACTCAGTTGCATATGTTAGCTCATCTGTCTCAATTTCTGGTGTATCATTCAGAATCCAGGGTTATTTACTGCAGGTTTGCACCATGGATCCTGTGCACAGTGCAGCCCAAGTGCCACCAGTCTGTGCCAATGACAGTTTTAATATGAAATATTCAGCTTGAAGAGGAGGCAGAGCTAGGTGACAAATAAGCCTTCAGATGGTGATGTATGCAATAAGTTACTGACAGATTCAACCAGTCAGAGCATTTCATTTGCTATGAACTCAGTAATTACATGATGGCTGGGACAGAAAAGTCTTTTTATTAAGAAAATTGTTTATTAAGACTGTACAACTGCAGTCAATGCTAAACAGGCCCAGATTTCCTAAAGGCTCCTCCAAATCCTCTCCCCAGAGCTATCTTAGCTACTCTTTTACATCCCACACTGATGCCTGCCTACAGACAGCACTGTCTCAAAGTCAAGTGAACTATATAAACTGTGCACTTGTAACAACAAATATTCAGGTGAATATTGACTTCCACACTGATATACAACTCAGCACTAGAGAACTCTTCTCTGGAAGAAGAATTATTTCCTTTCAGCACAAAGAAAGTTGGTCAGCTGAACACAAAGTAGAAGTTTAATCCTTCTGTTTCATAACTCAGTTCAGCTAAAGAGAGTCCAAAATATTTTTACATAAATGAACATGACATCTATATTGCCTTTGATTAGAGGAACATCTGATTTTTGACATGTGTATAAGGCTTACACTGAAAGCAACAGCATATGCAGCAGTGAACATTACAAACTTTTCAGAGCAAACTACCTATCTGGCCTTAAAATCACTGCAAACTCCAACCTAATCAGAAACAAACCACACACTGTGTTGATCTGGAAGCATCTTATAGAAAGTCACTGAAGTTACCTTTAAGACAGATAATCAAGCCTATCTTAAAACAAACAAAAAATAAAAATTTCAAGAAGTCTTGCTCATTATTCCTTCTCCTTACATCTGGGCTGAAAACTTCTTGCTTTATTTCCCAGACAATGCATCCTATAGCTGCTAGATCAGAGAAAAGGAGCATTTCCCACCTGAAGCCACCTCCCATCCTTTCCCCAGCTGCCCAAATGGGTAGCCCATCTCACTCCCACCATGCAGGTTTCAATACCTTAAGTCATTTTTTCCACAGATATTTTCTTCCAACAGCTTTCCTGAAAAAATGGCACCAAAATATTTTTCTCCACAGCATTCTCGGCAGCATCTTTTCACTTACAGCAATTTCAGCGCCAGGCTGAGAAGCAAGGTATTCCAAAATACAAAGAAAATCCTTACTATTTTCCACCACTTCAAGGATGAGCATCATCACATTTCTCCAACGCATTTCAGTTCTGTCACTGCCCCATGAAGTACAACCGTGCCTGCAGCTTCCAAGCAGTCTGGGATGTCTGGTGCCTTACCTAAAGGTAAGTATGGATTTTTCCTGTTTCAGGTTGACCGTGGCTGGCTGACAGGTGCCCACGCAGCCACTCCATCATTCCCCCTCCATCAGCAGAACAAGTGAATCAGGATCACCTGCTACAAGCTCAGGAGTGTTGCATCCCAACCAGAAGGAAGTGCAGCAGGAGGGCCAGGAGACCTCCTTGGGTAGGTAAGGAGCTGCTGAGGAAAATTCAATTGAAAAAAGAGGCTTATAAGTGGAAGCAAGGACAGGAGGCATGGGAAGAGTACAGGGATGTTGTCCAGGAAGCTAGGGACCAGGTTAGGAAAACTAAGGCCCAGTTAGAATTAAACTTAGCTAGAGGTATTAAAAATAACAGGAAGGGATTCTACAGGTACATAGCAAATAAAAAACAGACTAGGGAGAATGTAGGCCCCCTCAGGAAGCTCTCTGGAGAACTGGCTACATGGGATTTGGAGAAGGCTGAGGTTCTGAATGACTTCTTTGCCTCGGTCTTCACTGGCAAAGGCTGTGACCACACCACCCAAGTCTTGGAAGGCAGATGCAGGGACTGTGAGAATGAAGTCCTTGGGCCCACTGTAGGAGAGGAACTGGTTCGAGACCATCTTAAAAATCTGAATATGCACAAGTTCACGGGACCTGATGAAATCCATCCACGGGTCCTGAAGGAGCTGGTGAATGAAGTTGCTAAGCCACTGGCCATCATATTTGAGAAATCATAGCAGTCAGGTGAACTTCCCAATGACTGGAAAAAGGGAAATATAACCCCCATTTTCAAGAAGGGGAAAATGGATGACACGGGGAATTACAGACCAGTCAGTCTCACCTCTGTGCCTGGCAAAATCCTGGAGCAGATTCTCCTGGATGGCATGCTAAGGCACATGAAACAACAAGGTGCTTGGTGACAGCCAGCATGGCTTCACTGAGGGGAAATCCTGCCTGACCAATTTGGTGGCCTTCTATGATGGGGCTACAGAACTGATGGACAGGGGTAGAGCAGTTGATGTCATCTACCTGGACTTGTGTAAAGCATTCGACACTGTCCCACACGACATCCTTGTCTCTAAATTGGAGAGACATCAATTTGATGGATGGACCACTCGGTGGATAAAGAACTGGCTGGATGGCCCCACGCAAAGAGTTGTGGTCAATGGCTCAATGTCCGGCTGGAGACCAGTAACGAGTGATGTCCCTCAGGGATTGGTGTTGGGACCGGTCTTGTTCAACATCGTCATCGCTGACATGGACAGTGGAATTGAGTGCGCCCTCAGCAAGTTTGCTGATGACACCAAGCTGTGTGGTTCGGTTGATATGCTGGAGGGAAGGAATGCCATCCAGAGGGACCTTGACACGCTTGTGAGGTGGGCTGATGCCAACCTCATGAAGTTTAACCATGCCAAGTGCAAGGTCCTCCACCTGGGTCAGAGCAATCCCAGGCACAGCTACAGGTTGGGCAGGGAAGAGATTCAGAGCAGCCCTGCAGAGAAGGACTTGGGGGTGCTGGTTGATGAGAAAATGAACATGGGCCAACCGTATCCTGGGCTGCATCAAAAGGAGCATGACCAGCAGGTCGAAGGAGGTGATCCTGCCCCTCTACTCTGCTCTTGTGGGACCTCACCTGGAGTATTGTGTGCAGTTCTGGTGTCTTCAACAGAAAAAGGACATGGAACTGTTGGAACAAGTCCAGAGAAGGGCCACGAGGATGATCAGGGGACTGGAGCACCTCCTGTATGATGACAGGCTGAGGAAGTTGGGGCTGTTCAGCCTGGAGAAGAGAAAGCTGCATGGAGACCTCATCTGAAGGGGGCCTATAGGGGTGCTGGGAAGGGACACTTCATTGGGGACTGTAGTGATAGGACAAGGGGTAATAGGTCAAAACTTAAACAGGGGAGGTTTAGATTGGATATAAGGAGGAAATTCTTTCCTGTTAGGGTGGTGAGGCACTGGAATAGGTTGCCCAGGGAGGCTGCAAATGCTCCATCCCTGGCAGTGTTCAAGACCAGGTTGGACGAGGCCTTGGGAGATATGATTTAGCGTAAGGTGTCCCTGCCCACGGCAGGGGGGTTGGAACTAGATGATCTTAAGGTCCTTTCCAACCCTAACTATTCTATGATTCTATGAAAAATATGACAAAAATGCTCCTTGGTCAAGATAAGGATGCAGAGGTCACTCAGCAATTACTGTCACAGGCAAAACAGACTTGACTTGAGGAAATTAATTGTAACAGAGCAGGATAGTGAGCAATAAGAGCAAAGCTAAAAACACCTTTCCCTCACCCCTCCCTTCTTCCCAGGCTCAACTTCCCTTCCAAATCTTCTACCTTCCCCACCCCACGCATCATGGGGAGACAGGGAATAGGGATTGTGGTCAGTTCCTGATGCTTCACCTCTGCTAGTCCTTCCTGCTCACACTCTTCACTACTCCAGTATGGGGCCCCTCCCAGGGGTGCAGTCTTTCAGGAAGGGTCTGCTTCAGTGTGAGTCTTCTGCAGGGCCACAGGTCTTTCTTTCCAGGAGTCTGATGCAGCACAGGCTTCCTTTTGGCATGCCACTGCTCCAGCTTCAGGCTCTCTATGGGCTGCAGGTGGATATCTGCTCCACCATGAACTTCCACAGGCTCCACAGGCTGCCTCACTATAGGCATCAGAAGAATCTCTACTCTCGTGTCTATAGCACCTCCTCACCTCCTTCCTCACTAACCTGGAAGCACCATAATACGGATGGGATCAGCTTTAGCCAGTGGCAGAGCCATCTTGGAGCTGGTCAAAACCATCTCTATGCAGCGTAGGAGCAGCTTCTGGCGTCTTCTCTCAGAAGCCACCCCTGCAGCACCCCCAGCACCAAAATCTTGCCATGTAAACACAATGTACCCCAAATTTAGGCTGCTTCCTTCCCCTCTTGCCTTTTACCTACCTGTAGAAGAAACAATACAGTTCATTTTAAAGTGATCCTTAACACAGTTTTTCAGCCTTCATGGATGCAGTGGAAAGCATCCCACTCACCCCTCATACCTCTCCTCTAAGGCCACCTGGGGGCTTCTATGGCTCTCCTGATTGTCCTTCAGCTGGAACCGTGGTCATGGGAAGAGGGAGACCAGAGTAAATGGCTGAGGTCTCTTTAAGGGAATAAAAGTGTTCCATCATGTTTCATGTACAGTTTGTTCATGTCTGTGCCTTTTCATTTACAACACACTATTTTTTCCATAGTAGTGGGACATGCCCAACATGCATTTAACTTGGGATGCACTGTAACCCCAAATCCTCTGGCAGCTGTTTTACATCCTAACTTAGTACACCTGGTCTTGTGGAGTGCATCAGCTTGTACTTACCCTTGCCCCCCATATCAGGTGTGCAATCTACCAGCATAGGATAAACTAGAACTAGTCACAGGCCCTGATAAAAAGCCAGCCCATATCCTACCAATACATCAATCCACCATTTGCAACTGTACATTTTTGCATCTATTTTGCAGAAATGCATTAACACAATACTTACCTACTTTTCTTAAACAGAAGTATCATGTGAAACAATAATCCAGTGACCATCATGAATTTATGAGTTTGAGGATAACGTGAATACCATCGTGAGTTTCCCAAACTACAATAAATTGTCCTTTTACATACCCTTAGCCCACGGAAATGCAAGGGAAAAGGGTTCCAGTCTCGTAACCAACTATCTGAAGCCCTCTATGCCTTAGACTTTAGCCAAACTGAGCAGGGAGGAGCCCAGCTGTGATGGGCAATTTCCTGAAGAACTGCTGCCTGTGTGAGTGCTTGTCTCATTAGCAGAGCATGGCTATTAGCTGCCTGCCCATTGTGACCAGCTTTAAATTGCAGGGGTTGATAGAAAGCGGTGCTATTTTTTTTTTTTTTTTTGTGATCCAGAAAGGAGCAGCAGTGTCTTCTAAAAAGTGTTGCTTAGCTGTAATTGAACCTCACTGTTACTGCTGGGCATTAAGTATTGGTCATTACTTTATTTGTTTACTTGAGTAAGCTAAAAGCATGGTGTGCTGGATGAGGTGCTGCTCTGGATCTAGCAGATCTTCTGTTGGAGTCTCCGGCTTGTCTGGTCACACTGAGATCAGACTGATGCAAAGGATGGGTTTGGGGTGCTTCCTCTATTCTGCCTGAGCTGCTCCCCACCATCTCATGCTCCCTAGCTTGTTCTCTGCATCCAGTCAGCTGCCACCACAGAACATGCCATTCACCAGGCAAAACGAGATTGTAGACTGAACGTTTCTGCCTTTTTTAAAGACAGATTTTTTTTTTATAATTTTACTTCTCTTCAGGACTCTGAACTGGAATACTTTAAATTAAAATCTAAAATTTGGAGCTGACAAACACACTTTTTAGGTTCTTTGGGCTTTCTCATGTAAGTAGTACAGCTTATCTTGGAAAGTTAAAAAAAGGGCTGAGCTCACTTTGGAAGTACCACTCACACTAAATGGGTGTCAGTTACACCTATTCTTTTGTTATGTGTAAGGCTAAAGTTGCCATAATAAACTCACTGGAAATGACAATATTTGTAAGGTATTAGTTTCATTTCAGGTTTTTTTCTTTCTTTCTTTGTTTTTTTTTAATGGCAGTAAGTGGCAGTAAAAGCAAACAGCAGCAGGTAACTGGGGTGGATTGTTTGCTTCTGAGGTCTATGATGTCCAACATGGGTGGGCAGACCCGTTGGTGCTCCATGCCCTAGCTTTCCCTCTGGCAGCAGGAGTCTGGAATCTGTTGGAAAATCCAATTTTGCCTCCCCTGGTATCTTGCACAGGAGAAGATTACTTTGCCAGAAGTATTTTTATTGCTTTCAAAGTGCAGAAGGCTGAATTTCATGTGGAAAGGTAAAAAACTGAATTATTTTTTATCTGAAAATATATGAAAGATGTACCTTAGGAAAAGGAGTTGGGGGGGGGGGGGGGGGGGGGAAAAGAAAGAAGTGCAAATGCCATGGCAGCATCAAAGAAAATAAAGTTAAACATTGTTTCCATTTTTTGGAAAAAACAAAATGAGAAAGTCCAGAGGAAGCTGCAAAGACGCTCTTATGGAGACAGGCTGAGGGAGCTGGGCTTGTTCAGCCTGGAGAAAAGAAAGCTCTGGGAGACCTTAGAGCAGCTTCCAGTGCCTAAAGGGGCCAACAAGAAATCTGGAGAAGGCCTTTTTACAAGTGCAAGTAGGGACAGGACAAGGGGTAATGGCTTTAAATCCGAAGAGGGCAGATTTAGATTAGATCTTAGGCAGAAGTTCTTCCCTGTGAGGGTGGTAAGGTGCTGGCACAGGGTGCCCAGAGAAGCTGTGGCTACCTCATCCCCGGCAGTGTTCAAGGCCAGGTTGGATGGGGCTTTGAGCAACCAGGTCTGGTGGAAGGGGACCCTGCCCATGGCAGAGGGTTGGAACTGGATGGCCTCTAAGGTCCCTTCCAACCCAAACCATTTGATGATTCTGTGATCTGTTTAGAGCAGCTGGGTTGCATCAAAATGTGCCTCTTGAAGCCCAGGTCCTGCTTCATAATGCCTAACAGCAGGCAGGGCAGGTTACCCAGGTGGGTGATGCACCGCACACCTGAACATGGACTGTGCAGAGGTGGTTTGCAGCTCTCTCTGTAGCAGCACTGCTCATGCAGTGCATGAGCCACGCACCAGTCATGGGGATGGATTTTGCCCAAAACTTCATGTGGGATCACGGGGCAGTATGGCACCACGATCAGGCTTCCCCCTTCCCAGGCATCCTACACTTTCAGGCTAAAAAATACATTACTTGCACTATTACACTATAATTTATCAGTGTCCAGTTGTAATAGTTAAAAGACAGTTTAAAAATCAAGCAGCAAAGATAACTCTGATCCCAGGGACCTTTTGTGCTCCTTCTCAGCGCTGGCAGTCAGATTACAACAAGCATCAGGCAAATGCTCCTGGCAGAGCCTCAGAAAGATCTAATAAGGTGATGAAAATATGTGTGTAACTCAGAAAGTTAACAGGAGTAGCAGGCAGGAGTCCTGGAGTTCAGACTGCTTGTCACTGCTGTTAAATAGGAGGTGTTTGAAGGGACCAAGAAACGAAAGGGCTCTTGAAAAGATAATCTGTAAACTTAGTCATCACACTCTGTCAGCATCCAGGACCTTTGTTTGAGGTAATGAAAACTGAGTTATCTTTATCATTTATTTCAAAGCCTCATGTAAGGGTACCGTTCGCTGCTGTGACTCCAGGGGGATGGAAATCTGCTGAGCAGTTGTTGCTGACTGCATATGTACATACACTTTGTAAAGTACATGCTAACATACCTGGTAGTATGTATTTTAGATTATTTCACCTTACACATGGAAACCATGTTTTTTTCTACCAAATAATGTATACATTTATCCAAGAATATGCCTGTTTGGTGGATAAATACTTTTTCACAACACAGTGTTCAAAATGCTACCTATCAGAGACCTGCTGTATGCCCATGAAAAGAAGAGCTGGCAAACTGTAAACAAGCTTTCAGAAAGCTTGTATAGGAAGCCAGGAAGAATTAGTTTGGGACAATGCGTAATGATATGACACTGTGAAAGAAAGAAGTTTTTTCTAAATGTGACGAACTTATTTGGGGAACCTCGTTCACTTTGTCACAGTAACATGACTGATATAAAATTTTTTCCTTATTTGTGGCTTTTTTCTTTTTTTTCTGTTTGTGGGGTTTTTGTTTGTTTGTTGTTTTCTTCTGTTGTTGTTTTTTTTTGGTGTTTGTTTGTTTATACAATGCCCCAAAGTACATGAAGACTTTGATCTACAGGTCTTGGTGAATTTCCTTTTTTTATCTCCATGTAATTAAAATTAAACATTTTTATTTCTGCACTTCAAAATGAAAATCAAGCAGAGGAGGATTCTGCGGTCAAGGCTGCTGAAGTGCCACAGTTCAGAAGCTGAATGCAGAGTGGTGGGGTTACCCAGAGCTTATGGGCAGCATGGCAGGGTGCAGTGCCCAGTCTGGTCTGGGGAGGTGGGTACCCTAATGCTGCCTGCCAGGGCAGGGTCTCACCATTGTGGGTCTCTGCTGGGACCAAGGAGCCCGTGAGGCAGCTGTGTCTCTCCCACAAAACCTTGCACCACGGTCCAGGCACAGCATCCTTCAAGGGTCATCCTCCTCTGCACCAACATGCTCTTGCCGAGCTGCTGCTCACTTGGGGCAGTGCTGAGGACTCCCCTTTTATTCTGTTTTCAAGTATTTTCCTTCTACATTGCCACTGAAGCTGTATAGTGGGATGCTTTATTTACATGCATGCAATAAGCTAATTATCCTTACTTATAGATTTCTAAAAAATCCATCCATTTTAATTGGATTATTTAAGTAACTGGACAGTAACATGCTAAGCAGAGAGAATAGCAGATGAAAACACTGGCTCTTATACAGAGTTCAACTACTACACAGGAGCATATGATTACATATAATAACAACAACTCATTACAAACCATTACTGACAAGGAATTGTTTCCGACCTTCTAAGTAATTCTCTGTTTCCATTACCCACTCTCCATAACTTTAATATTCCTGGTTTTGCCGGTAATGTATTTTGGGATGCACTGATGACTGTATTTTTGCTCATTATCATACAATGGTCTCTTGACTTTCTTCAATCTCTTTCTTCATTAGGATTGTTCCCCCTGCTTTGAGTTAGTTCCCCCTTCCTAACATTTTTTTATGAAACAATTTGTTCATTGTGTGCTTAGACACACGAGCTCTTTGGACTTCACTGTCATCTGTGGCTTTTATCCTTGGCTTTCTCCACACGCAAGGGCTTTTGCAGCTTACGGGGTTTATCTAAGTCACCATAATGTTTCTGCCAGGACTCTGCTTGCCTCCTGGTAAACGCACCAAGATAGCTGGCCCTTACAGCATATACCTTTCAAAACCCATTCTTTTACAATGCTTGATTCCTTCTTCCTAATTTAGAATAGAATAATTCCAGATAGAAGGTGTGGTGTACCAAAGTTCTGGTGAAATCTGAAGACCTTTATTTCACATCTTGAATCCCTTTTATAGTCTACTAAGTGCTAAGCAGTAACTTTCCACTCTTTTACTCCCTTATCATCCTGATTTAGCAAAACTACTAAGGGTTACAAATATTCACACTGTTTGGTCTGCTTTGTTTTTCTAACCTATCTTTACCCTTCATTGTTCTCTTTACAGTTCCCAGGGCTTAGGCCCAGCAGGGCACTGACACCTCGTGTTTTCTTCATGGTTCCCAAGGCTTAAGCCAGACCAGGGTGATAATGCCTGGATCCATTTCATTAACTATTTCTATCCCGTCACCCACAGAAGGGGCCTACAGTGATCCCCCACTCCAAGTGCTTGACCACTTCAGGACTGACCGAAAGTTAAAGCATGCTGTTAAGGGCATTGTCCAAATGCCTCTTCAACACAGACAGGCTTGGGGCATCGGCCACCTCTTTAGGAAGTCTGTTCCAGCTCCTTCAGAGCAGGAACCACTGGCCCATTTTCTTTACACTGTTAAACGATTTTTTTTTTAATTTTTTTTTTTTTTTTTTAGAGAGCAAATAACTATGTTGAGAAAAAACAGCTGCACTTTAGGTTGGGGACAGGAGGAGGAAATGCCTTATTTTGCCTTACTTTGCATGGACCAGTCTCCCATGTGGTTTATTTTCTCTGCTTTTTACTATGTCAGTCATGAGATGCTTTAAAACGCATTCCTGGCTTGAAGTCATGTCCTGAGAAAAGATATCCCTGTGTCTATTGTAAAATCTCCTTTTGCTTGCTGCAGAGGTCTGGCAGGTATAGCACTGCCTTCCCAGGGTGCTGAGTGTGCTGGCCAGAAACCGTGATAATTTGGTGATATATTAAAATGTCTTGTAAACCAATTTGCAGC